GGGCCAGGCTTGGCTTTGGAGTGTGCTGCAAGTCCCCCCTGCCAGACACCTCTTGTGATGCCTGACAGTGGGGCTGAAGCCGAACTGCAGAGAACCACCCTGTCCTTGTCACTGCCCGCCATCTCAGGGCTGTGGGACCAGAACAGGGACGTGCTGGCACCCAGCACCTGCACCCTGGTGAGGTGGCCCAGCTGGGACCGTCTGGCCCCCACGTGCCCCAAGGCTGGCTGGCTCAGTTCAGTTTTCTTGTTGCTGCTCTTTGATAAATAAAAAAGCCCCTGAAAGATAATCTCTACCATAATGTTTATTAAATAGTAATTTTCAAAGGTTTTTATACAAATAATATAAACACAGTTCGATTTTTTTTGTTGTTGTTTTTGTTTTTGTTTTTATACTGAAGAATCACAGTAAAAGCTCTTTAAGTCCGTAAGTCCTGGCTCAGCCAGTGAATGGTCAAATACCTTGAACTGCAAACCCTGGAGAAGTTCCATTTCTGCACATAATTTTTTAATGGTTTAATTCCCATGCTCACCCCCGGCACCTTTCCACAAAATGAAATCACCCAGCACTAGAGCCCGCCCGTTAGCAACATGTCCTCGCCATGGGAAGGGTGTGGAGGCAACAGCCTATTTCAGCAAAGGCATTAACACTGATTTTTCTTTTTTTCTTTTCTGAATTTCACAGATGAAATTGCGACCAGCAAACCTAATCTGTTTGCAGAGGAGGATGCAATGAATTGAATGCACTGACGACTTTCTCCCCACCCCTGTTGTAGTTACAATCAAACACAGTTTTATGTAGAACAGTAAAGCACCCAGCAGAGGTAAGTGAGGTATCGGCTTTGCAGCATTATTGGCCTGTTCCCGCCCGGCCAGCGCGCGCACATGGCCCTGTCCCGTCTGGAAGGGGCAAGTGGGACACGCAGGGCGGACGCTTCGCTGGGCCCGTGCCAAGTGAGTGCCGAGATCAGCAGTACTCTTCTGCCCCGGATCAAGAGATATATTAACACGAGTCAGTCCCACGGAATAAGTCACATACACGATACATACAGAGAATTCACGTGTGTGTGCAAACACACTATTTCCGAATATATGTACATACGAACTCTTCTCTCTGTACGCCTACTAGACACCATAACGTCACCTTTTTAATTATATATTTTCACCTACTGTTTGCCTAAGTTGACTTTTCTACTGTATGGTCCTTTTCCACTCATCCTTCCCCTCACCTGTGATTTGAAGGAGACAAAATAATCGAGCAGCAGCAATCCAGCTTTGAAATGGTCTGGTACATTTCCTCTTACTGCCTTTGTTTCTTTTGTACAGTAAAATAACATCCCTGTGGAATTTGTCCATGAAGAACACCAAAAGAAATAAGGTGATTCAAAAGGAGAATCTGAGATACATTTACTGCTGTTTCTGTTGGGCACAGAGTGTGAATCAAAAAAATGAAGGCCTTTGTGTGTGCACGTCTCTGCGTGCGCGTGTATGAATCAGAATCATGAATGTTTTGATGACACAGCTGCTGGTATCTGCTTCCCCAGTAACATGCGTCTTTCTTACAGTGGAGAAGTCTTTTTTTTTTTTTTTCCCCTAAAAACTTACTGTCTGATAGAGCTTTTCATGAAACATAAGACAAATGTTCCTATTCCCACCGCACTGAGGAGCAGCTGTGGCAGTGTCCGTGCTCATCTCCTCTCCAGATGTTGCTCGTCTCCCCGAACACCTGGCCTCCTGCAGGATGTGTTTGCAGGGGCTGTGCAAACTGAGCTTCACAGCACATCACACGTTCGGTGCTCTGCAGTTAGTGAGGAAAAAAAATCCATCCCCAACCCAAACTATTTGCTAGGCGAAATGTAAAATCAGGACATGTCAGGTGTTTCCAAAGAGCCCCTGGAAAAGCAAACCCAACGTGCTGGAAAGGTTCCTCGCTTATGTATGTGCAAGCTGATAGGGGTGATCTGTCTGCACTGAATTGGAAATGAAGGCATAGGTTTGGGGCTCAGCATTTGAACTCATTTTTCTCTATTAAATTGTTTTCATAAACACTCCTCTCCCACGGCACAGTGGTAAGTGGAGAGGTATCAGCTGCCAGACAATATAGCCAGACCACTCGAAAGCAGAAGGGCCAGACTTCTTCAGTCGGGCTCTACACGGCAGAGAGCCGTGAAGAGTGTTTAGCCGGGGAAGCATGAAGGCCTCACCTGTTGTTTGACACAGCACTGATCATCAGATGGAGGAAAAATACTTCTTCTAAGGCACTTGTTCAAAGTAAAACAAAACACAGCTCATAAAAAAAACCTTCAGGTTTTTGCTACTGACCAGGAGCAGCGCAGCCTTGCTCTGAAGGGGACACAACAGCAGCCGTCGGGTCCGTTGGTGCTGCCAGTGCCAGCTCGTGCCCCCAGCTCTGGGGAGACGGGGAGCCAAGGTGAGGGGGACCAGTGGGTGCCACGGCTGGGCCCCCGGGGCTGTGGGCATGGCGCCAGCCTCCTTCCCTGTTCATTTTCCCTCCCTGGCACTTCAGAGACATCTCGGCGCTGTGCCTCAAGTCAAACCCCAAGTGAAGCCCCCTCCCCAAAGCCATTGCCTCAGTGCTGGGAGCCTGACAGGCTCTATCTTTTGTTTGCTACGATTTTCTCATTATAGTAAAAAAAAATCATTAAAAAAAAAAGGGTAGTATCAAGTGGGGTGGGAGATTCAAAGAAAGGCCTTCCTGATGAAGGCCTCAGCTGTTGCAATCCAAAATCTGGATTTAATAAATGGCTCTTATTCACAAATCACTTTAAGGCTCTTCAGCTTCCCTCAGAGAGGTGCTTCTACACATAGGGTTTCCTTTCTAGTTTATTTCTTAATGACTTCAGAAAGTGCTGTTGTCACCATTGACGCTAAAGCCAGTATCCCACCTTTCTCCCAGACTGGGAGAACGGAAGTTGAAGGTAACAACATGCTTCCATTTTCAGGACTGGAAACGGCAGCTTCCTGGATGTAGTGTGAAGTGCAGAAATCCCTACAGCCAAAAAGGTCTCTGGACGGGGTCTAAAATGGACAGGGTCTCCGTGTCTGTGTCTTATTTCTAAAGACAGGGTGGCTGAAGAAATCCCTCAGCCTTCTCAGCAACTTAGCAGAGAAAGGAGGTGGGAAATAATGATCAACATTTAGTTTCTCACATCCAAAAGGTAAACCAGTCTCCCTCGTCACATCCCAGCAGATCCCTCGTCACTCGCATCAGCAGAAAATAAAGATGAACCAACAACCAAGGGTCTTGGTCCCCCCTCACCCAGCACAGTCCGGTTTGCGGGAACGTCCCCTCCATCCTGGCAGAGTGCAACCTGCTGGTGGGACCTGGCAGCAGGAGCAGCGCCTCACCTCGCTCCTCCCTCACCCCTCGTTCCCTGTTATGGCATTCAGTTCCCACAGAAAACAGCAAAAAAAGTAACCCCCCACCAGCCCACCTCACCGGGCGCAAGGATGAGGGTGATCCCCAGGGCACCCGTCAGGCCTCTGAGCAGCACTTCTGGTGGTTCATCTTGACCTTGTGCTTGATGCCGTCGTACAGCTCAAAGTTGTAGTTCTCCAGCGTGGTGGAGCTCCGTGAAGACAGACCTGTGTATGAGCATGTGCAGTAGAGCAGCAGACCGGCGCAGATGGCCCCGAGGAGGACGCCAAGGCTGCTCATCGCTATGATGGTCACCAGGATGGGATCCAGGGTGTAGAGCCAGCTTTTTTCATTGTCCAGCTTCGGGGTTCCTGGAGAGTTAGTAGAGAACAATGTGTCGTTCCTATCCGATCCAAAGTAATCTGCAGTGGAATGGGCACTTATTATCCAGGGATCTTTTTTTTTTTTTTCCCCTCACCTTTATGCATTTCTCACTTGGAGTTGTTACAGCCTTACAAGAGTGTAAGCCTCTCCGTGGGTATATCTCAGCAGGATTCACTTACCCAGGTCTAAAAGTAATGCAAAGCACAAAACTACCAAGAAAGTTAGGTGCCCTAATTAATTTTACATCTCAGGCTATGTAAACAGCATGCTAGCATTTTACACCCACTGAAACTCTGGCCCGTTAAGTGTCATTTGGTTCAAAACTATGGAAACAATCTGTCACAGCTCCCAGACTTAATTTTCTCCATTTACAAGTCAAAATGCCACACAAGCAGCAATTAATGCTTGAAAGATCAGTTCCACTTGTCCTAACACAAATACAATATATTGACTTTGCAAGGTTGCTGGCTGTTGAAAAAGGAAAACAAGAAAACTCCTGTCTTTGTCCAGGCAATAAGCCACCACTTGAGTGTACGTTCTCAAGCGTGTTCTAGCTCCTAGCCCTGATTAAAGCTGAGGTTTGTAAGTAATTGTAGCATCTGATACTGAAACACAAGCTTCCCCTGATAAATTGCCCATGTGGCATTTCGGTACCAACCTGGATCATCGCTGTCTTCAAAATCTTGCTCAGAGATCAGAGAGTCATCCTCCATTCCTGGGAAGTTCACTAGAAAAACAAAATGGGAAGCACTGTTTGTTTAAAGAGGCATTTCAAGGGCATTATTGCCACTGGTCACTGGACTGTGAGACCTGTCAGAAGAAAGCAATATTTAAGCTACATCCAGGATCTTCCTCATGGAGGAAGGAGGAAGAACTCTTCTTCCTTTGGCCAAAGTCAATGAATACTCTTGCACGCTTGAGAGAACAGGGTCTTCCCACTACATCACATTTCATGACCACCAAATGACCAGTTTTTAAGAAGAGACTGAGTGAAAAGCAAAGAAACCAGATAACTTGAATAACACTAAAATATTGTCATTGGTGCCTGCATAATGGCCGTAATTCACTATTAACATGCTCATGGGTCTTATCCTTACAACTTTGAATTGGATCTTGGTGCCTATCATTATTTGCCACTAATGCTAGATCCATTTAGCACACTCTAGTTTTCATCTTTTCCCATACATCTTACTGGACACAGAGCTTCAATGACCCAGTTTCTCTTTGGGTTTCAGATAAATTCACAGTAATTTGAGGAAGTCATGTATCATCATTACATGTTTTAATGCAAAAGCTGGTTGAAATGGGGAGTGCAGCAAATGGGTGTCCATATCTAGGCATTTATGTTAACATTACTCTGATCCAAAGTCCTTTTAGTGGTGACCTTTCTTTTTATTGTTCAGCAGAGATCAAGTACTAGTAACCAAATGCATATGCTGTAATCTGAGCAGAAGTTATTTTCCTGTGCAGTCTTTCTAGCATTATCTCTACATATAGTTACTGTGGTCCTTTTTCAGTTTTTCCAAAAGAAAATGTCCTTTCACTCTGATCTGCTTAGACTTTTCAAATCTGACTGTAACTTGGGGTGCTCAACTGAGAAGGCACCTCAAAATGATCAGAAGTGCAGAAAATCAGGGACCTTTAGAAAGTGTTAAAAGTCACACCTTTGAAATAGTTGTGGTTGAAAAATAAGGCTACTTCCCATCTTGTGTGAAAACAGCAATGAGAGTTTTAAGAGATTACTTAAAACCTACCAAAACCAAACAATGTAACTTGTGCCTAAAAAGCTACAGGCAAAGAAATAATTCAAAACCTTATAAAATATTTGGGTATATCTGCATAGAGATTTAGGACTGGAAAAGTCCTCCTGAACTGTCAAATCCTTTTTTTTTTTTTTTTTGCTATCCCAGGCAACAGTATTTAGGCAATCCCTGCCAGTGACATTTCAAGGTTGACTTCCAGTTTTGCAAAACACCACGCTGCCCCAACGCCACCTTACACCTGACTGCAGTGATCCTCTGTGCTGGTACTAATGATACCTTCACAAATAGCCATCCTTTGGGCAGAATTGTCTTTTGCCCTCTGCACTCAAAGGATTAAGGGATTTCTTTGAGTTTTCAAGCAAACCTGGCAACAGGAACACACAAAACCCAACACTCGCCCCTCCTGATGATGAGCTCTGTGTCTAGTCAGCCAGGTAATTAAGCTGACTTGGGGCTGCTGCTAGCTTGTTGAACAAACATAGGTGCACACCATCTTCTGTAAATCCTCACTTTAGCAGCGAGTTCACATGATTTCTCAACGCTTCCAGAACTGACAGGCCCAGATGGCAACATCTTAGGGCTGGGAGAACTGCCTGAGGGCCTCTTGCAAACACTTAGAGCCGAACATGTGGAAAAATAACTTGCAAAGCAGTTCACACACAGAGACGTCTGCTTTGCTAGTCCTCCGTCACAAGACAAGCAGTGAAATTTGCCATCCGGGTCACCCACACAACCCTATGGAAACTGTAGGTTGCTTGACCGTGAGCAAAAGTGGAAACTGGACCACAGTGTACCCAAGGAGCCCACGTGTGGGGAAAGGCCATTGGGAGTCTTTTGCCTTTCCATATTGCAGTTCCTCTAAATTTTGTGTGAGAACAAGCTAGCAATTTAGTGCTTTTTTATTTCCCAGGGTAGCCTTGAGGGAAAAGCCAGAAAAAAACAAAGTATTGGTTAATCAACGCTTTCAAAAGAGCACAAGTTCTTCCAGCCTGAAAGGAAGGAGCACTGGGAAAACTTGGAGAGAGAGAACATTTATACAAAAAGCCAGTCCCAAAATCTATTTCCTCTTCTAGCAATTTTCTCTGTTTCCCATGCTAATGTGGCTCCAATCCTGCTTAAATGATATCTTCCTCCTTGCCCATTCTCCTTCATCTTCAGACCCGTGGCAGGCCCTCGCTCTTCTGTTCCCTGTATGCCATTTCATTGCTATCAGACTGTATGTTGTCACGCTGGGCTCTATGCTGGCTTTGGAAAAATATAACTCGACATTTCTTTTTCCATACTGGGGTTTCTCGAGTCATTAACAAAATCAACTCTGGCTGTGTGGCTGTCTGTGGGAATTTAAGCTGGTGGTCTCAGTTCAGTTCCTAGTGGAGATGATTTCCCATCACAGAAACTAGACGGCTATTTGTCATCAATTAGGCTCCTTTGTGACATGTCTCAGCAATATTGTCACAAGTAGAGCAGGCCATGGAAAGTGACCCCCCCTTGGAAAGCAGTCCCCAGAAAAGCCCTGCAAGCTGCAGGGCAGAATGGGAGAAACATGCATTGTCCTGTTCTGAGAAGAGCTGCCTTCTTAAAGGGCAGCTTCCAGGAGCCACTTACTTTGCATTTTAAAAGGAAAAAAAATATACTGGAGAAGGGCAGCCAAGAAAGTTAGGGGAAACTGTATTTAAACATGAGGAATGCTTTCTCCTGAGTGAAAGGCCCTTTTTAAAGCATGTGTGCTGAATGATGGCTGTGAGCACCTAGCTGGTCATGCCCAAAAGATGATGTTAGCGATGCTGTTGGAAACAGCCGGATGCCGAGAAAAGGCTGTTATCTCTTGGATCTGAGAGCACTGCCAGCTAAAAGGCTAATTTATGGGACCTGAAAAAAGAAAGATGAGATTCTAATCAAAGACAAGGAGCAACCTAAGTACCACGTTCGTATGAACTCACATGGGGGGAGAGCAGGAGAGAATTAATATCTCCAGAGATTAAGGAGCTTTAATGTACATCTGTTTTAAAATAGTAGCAGGGGTGGGAAGGATTGGGCCAGAGAGGGGGTTACTTGAAGGGGATGATGTGCTTGATATGCCTTGCCAGGGCAGATGGGGGAGGCAGAAGAGCAGATGAGGTTCTCCCGTGTCCCACCATGGACTTACACGTACCTCTTGCAAGAAAGCTCCCCAAACCTGCCCAAAGCAGCTCACCTCTGCAAAGCTGAGGACAGCGCATCATACAGGCTGGCATGTAGTTCCCACCACCATGCACGGTCAATGCCAGCCTGCCTGCATGGGCTGACCAGCAGTGCCCACCGCCACTGGCAGAGACCTTTGCATCAAGCCAAGAGCTATTGCTCTGGAAAGGACACCCAATCCCAGTTGCTGGAACCTAAACACATTCCTCCAAGGCAAATGATCACTATCAAGAAAAAAATGGCTGTTTCTTTCTAGACTGACTTTGGTTTAAGTCCAGGCACCAAGGGCTGCCTCCTGCTGGGCCCCTCTATCCCAGGGCAGAGCTCCGTCTGCCACCACACATCTCTACACACAGGCATTTGCAGATGGTGGCTGCAGCACCTCTCAGGCTCATCCTAGGTGAACAAAATGAGCCTGTCAGCAGGAGGTGCCTTTCCAAAACGATACATCAAACTTGCGGCAACTTCCAGCCCTTCTTGCTGCCTGCCCGCAGCCTCTCTGGCCCAGGGGAGTCTGGCCTGGGGAGTGCCCAGGGTGCACTCCCGCCATCCCTGTGCTCCTGCTCCCTGCTTCCCACGGGGGTCTGTGGGCTCTGGGGCTGAAGTGATGCACCTGGTGATGGTGGCTTGTGGGCTGTGCTACCTACCACCCTTCACTCCCTAGTGACATCTGCCGCCGTGCCGCCTGGTACAAAGGCAGGGTAGATGCCTGCCCTCTGGTCCTTTCCACAGTGCAGAAACAACCACGTGCTGCTTGCTTCCCCGAAACAGCAAGTGCCCTGTTGCATGCTACCCCTGTCTCCTGCTGCTACAACATCCACCTCAGCCAGTGCTATCCTGCCCAGCAAGGGCAGCATTGGAGGTGCACAGCTGCTCTGCTGCCGAACAGCTCCCACAATGGCCTGAAACATTAAATCCAGCTAAGCCCAGGAGAATGGGGTCAGAAATTACTGCTCTGCAGCCTTGGCAGAGAGAGGCAGAACTCCAGCTCTGCTCTCATCCTCGCTTTTCTCCCTTTGCTCATTCCCAGCCCTTTTCTCTCCGCAGCAATAGCGTGACTCCAACACACATCACTTTGTTTTGACATAGCAGCGCAGCCGCAGTGGCCTCGCCTTGACACCGCTCTGTTTGGCAGCAGTGTAGCGCTGCTCCTCTGGCTGGGAGCCCTGGGGGCTGGGGGGCAACACCTCCCACCCTCAGCGAATGGGGAAGCGCTTCTCAAAGCAGCAGCCCAGGCACCGGCCAGAAACACTCCCTCTGAATCTCCCCATTGCTCTATTTCCAGCCGAAAATCCACCTCACTTCTCACTTCCGCCCTCCTCCAGAAACACAGAACAATTTGAGTTTACAAAAGGGCTAAATCCTTGCCAAATTTCAAATTAAAACAGTGCTTTGGCTACAGCGGAGCATTAAAGAAAGCAAACAAGCAGCCTCCCCCTGGCCCGGCTGCCCTCCACAATGTGGGAACCCCCAGACCTTATCCTCAGACAGCCTTGGGGCTGCCCGGCGGTGGCGCACACAGCAGCACCGTCTTCAAACCCAGTGGCACTGAGGAGCCTCTTATGCTCCTTGGGCTTCCCATATGCAGAGAAGTGCATCTGGGCAGGCAAAGACCTGCACCGAAAGCACTCAGAGATGTGAAGACGGGCTGGGCACTTTGTGCAGAGGCAAACATGAGCAGGCAGCTATTTCCGGCCCTGGCGCTGCTCTCTGACGTGTGGCACCCTGCTCTCGCCGCATGCACGGCAGATGGCCAAGGTGGCTGCCCAGATCAGGGATCCTG